TCTGATTTTATTTTAAAAAACATAAATTAAATCGGTCTTTTCTGGCCGAGAAATTAGGGGATGTCACAGATCATATGTCCGGGTGACTATATCACCTCTGAGTATATACGGCCATGCATTCCTTGGATTGTTGATATCGAGTATGCTGCTATGTTGTAGTGATCTGTTAGATCTGTGTTCTGGTATTGAGTATGCTACTATGTTGTAGTGATCTGCTAGATCTATGTTCTGGTATCGAGTGTGCTGCTATGATGTAATGACCTGTTAGATTTGTCTCCTAGTATTCAATATGTTGCTTTGTGGTAATAATCTGTAGAATTGTATGTTATCTATGCTTGCTAGTTATCATCTACGGAGTGCCCTTAGAGACTATCTGTGGTCATGTAGGATAGCCTGAGAACTCTTGGTCTAGGCTCTCTTGCCTGTTCCATGTTTGGTTGTGGCTCTATAGTAGGACCATCCGTTCGGGTGGCTATCTTACCTCTGGTTACTTATGGTTACACATTCTATGGGGGTTAGCTGGTAGCGGGACTATATGCTGTGAGAGGATTAGTAGGCGTTAGTGAGTTGTATGATTGTTGTTTGCCTGTATTATGTGCCTACTTGATCCTGATTGTTTATATGTCGACATATGGTGTTTGATTTGGGTTGAGACGATCCTGTTTTGTGCGGTAGGCCAAGATACCCGGTGCGGGCCGACTGTAAGCCATAGGCACGGAGGCTCGGGAAGAGCGGTAGGGTTGAGGCGGTAGGCCAACAAACCGTAGGTATTCCAACCTGCTGATTAGACCTGTTATATATTGGCATTCCAACTTGGGGTATTCCATCCCGAGGATGACTAAACTCGGAGGTTGACTGGGCATTGGGTATTCCAACCTGATGGTTGACTAGACTCGATGTGTTTGCTTGTATATGTGATATGTTTATATGGTGGTATTTTAAGGGAAACTCACTAAGCTTTATGATTATCTAGTTGTTTATGTTTCAGGTATCACTGGTGTCTATGGGAAGGCGAAGGCGGGACTGTACACACGCATCAGCAACATTGAATATTCCACTATTTCTATAAAACTCTGATTTTGAACAAATGTAATTTGGAATAAACGGTTTTCTTAATAATGGATTTATAAATTGGAAAGTTTTCACCTTAATAAAAATGAAAAATTTTGGTTGTGAAAATGGGACGTTACAATGTGAGTTGGAATTTGTAATTGTGGTGTGGGTTCATATTCTCATGTGTATATACATATTGGTAGTTGGGATCGAGTGGTGGAGTTCAAGTTAGTATGAGTATCTAAGGATTGGGAAATTGTTAGACTCTAGCATATCTCAAGTGGGGGAGAGTGGAACTCGTAGCAGGAAGACCTTGTGCCAAGGTTCGGTTGTCAGTTGAATTTCTCCAGGTTAAGGACTTCCGCGCAATTGCTGAATCTTTCGGTTTCACGTTAAGATCATTGTCAGGTGTTGGATTTCCCTTCTAGTTGTATTAGTTTTAGTTGTTGCATCATAAGTAGGGCATGCTTATGTTTTAGACTCTAGGGTGTTAAAAGCCTAGGTTGAGGGATGTGATGAGAGATTCCTTGTCTGTTCTTGTTTGATTAGGGCTTGGAGGTCTAAGTCACGAATCGAAGACTTGGTAGGATCAGTTAAGTATCGTTAGCCCGAGTGTTGTTGATGGTTAGTGGATCGGGGGTAGGCCCGAGTGCTGTTGATTGGTTGCTAGATCGGGGTAAGCCCGAGTGCTGTTGTTGGTTATTGGATCGGGGGTAGGCCCGAGTGCTATTGGTTGGTTAGTGGATCGGGGGTAAGCCCGAGTGTTATTTTCGATTAGTGGAACAGGGGTGAGCCTGAATGTTGTCAGTAGATAGATAAGCAGGGCTGTCGGAGCCAAGTAGGAGCGTGGTTGAGTCGTGTTTGTGATCGTTCAGATTCCTCATGTTAGTGCATTTTCATGCGGGTTAGTACAGCGGCAGTGGGTCGAGTAGATCTAGGATCGATCAAATATGTGGATTTCGGTTGGCATAGTTGACCAAAAGGATGGTTTAGCCTTGTCTGCTGGGTTTTGTAAAGATTTCTCACTGATGCGTCAGTGCGTGAGGTTGACAGCTATGATGTAGGGTGAGGTTCCTACTTTGGATATCGATGAGCAATGTAGGTCCGGGAGACCTTGGTCGGGTTAGGCTGGACGTCTCGTGTAGCATGAGTGTCAGTGGGGAGGTTCAGATATATTAGGGTTGTCCGCGATTTCGGGACCTCTAGGTCCTGGTCCGAAAAGTGAATTCTTCTCTTGCGAATTAACGATGATTGTGGGAAATTGTTTATCGTCAGGTTGCTTCTTCCTTGTAAGATCTATTGAGGTACCGAAACCCAATATGGAATGGACCGAGCCTAAGGGTGTTCATCGGTTCAAATTCATTAGATATCGATGGAACCGATCCATTTCAATCATCCATTGAATGTTGGATTTTGTCAAGCGATCCAATCGAATTCATTATAAAAACCAAATCAAACCAATCCAACTGGTTGTTAGATTGGATCAGTTTTATCTATTGGATATTTTTAATTATTTATCCATTATCCAACTAATTTCTTATCCATTTCCATCGAATAACCAAATATAACTATGATAACTAAAAATAATATTGCATACAATTACGTTAAATACGACTAACAAAGTAACATTAACTTCAAATCCTCAAATTATTTTTTATTGAACTTGATATTCAATTGGATCTGGATAATAAGATTGACTTTCAAAATTTGATATTTAATTGGATCGGATAATTCAGTTATCCACTGATCCATTGATTTTTCAGGACGATCCAATAATTGATCTAATGCAATTGGATTTTGAAATTTCACATATGATCAAATCTAATTATAATTGGATATCTAATCAAATCGGTCAGTTCGTAATTAGATCGGTCCGTCAATTAATTTTTACCAAAGTTCTTAATAACGTGAGGCGTGAGCTTGACGACAAGGTCAAAGTTAAGCCATGACGAGCCTTAACGAGCTATGATGTTTTTCAAGGCATGACTGTTTTATATACATTAAAAAGATAAATTATACGAGTATAATTATTGAATTTTATCAAATATATCAAGTTTTTAGAAATGTTACATTTATATTTAATATAAAAAAAATTAACAAAAAAACTTAATTATTTCAGGTCAGGTTAGAAAAAAAAAACCAAAAAAACAAAAAAACTAGCGCCTTGAAAATAACTCGCACCTTGACACGTTATTTGAGCGTTACGATTAATAAATCCGTCTTGAACGTTTTCGTAACGGCTACACCACGCCTCGCATCATGATAAGTTTTGAGACTTGCTTTTTAGAACCATGATTTTTACACACCCTTAATTAGGCCATTAGATTGCCATAATCACCTAGTTAATTATTCAATTTTCTTAAATATATTATTATAAAAAACTATTTAGTTATTAAAATATTTAATAACCAAGATAAATATTAAATATGTTTATTATAAGCAAGATAAATATTAAATATGTTAATAGCATTGCTACAAGAGTCGGTCTGAGGGAGTGATGATTCCCTTTCTGTTTCATATTTTAATTTCCGTGAAAGATTTTGCGGGTCGTGTTATTAATTTAATATAAAATATAAATAAATATAAAAATAGACAGCGATATCGAACTGCAAAAGGGCATACCAATTACCATTACCCCCACCCACTCACTTTATCAAGAACAAGGACGGATCCAAAATCGCGAATAACAGAAAACCCTAGCCCCTTTCCCCCCGTCCCCCTCCTCTCTTAGCCGCGAATTCCCTCTCTTTCTCTCTACACAAACAACCAACCAACCAACCAACCAACTTTATCAAGATCCTGCCCTGTGTGACCAATTTGAAGATAGGGTTAGGGGTTTTCAAAATTAGGGTTAGGGTTACGAATAATTTTTGTTGACAAATGGAATGCTGCATGGACGGTGGTGGTTTGGTGAAATGACCAAAGGACCATGTCAGGGGCTGAGGAAGATGATGGGTAGAAGTGCCAACGGAGGTTGCGGCACTGAGGAAAAACATTGCCCAGTTTCTACTTCTAGGGTTCCGACCAAGTTTTCACCGGAAGATAAAGACGCACCACTGGCTCGACTAGTAGGGATTGATTTTTACGCACAGGCTTGTAAGGCCCTTGCTGTTCTTTCTCCTTTTGATTTGGAGGATGGTCAGAAGAAGAGCTCAGCTATTGTATCGACGCTTCCTGGTGGTTTGGCAACCTGTTTGTCCAAACATTCTGATAGTCGTAAGCGCCATAAGAAGTCCCATTTGGGCTCAGACACCAAGAAAAACAAGTCCTCTTCCAGACAGGAGAAACCTCGTGGGATCACCGTTTGGTCTGAAACAGAGGATTACTTTAGGGAATTGAAGGTGGATGATATTGAGAGGTTAAATGATGCTTCTTCTTTTAGGGACAACAAGTTTATTTCAATTCCGTATCCTGGAAATAATAACGAAACAAATAATCATAGTGGGGTGGTTGTTGCTGCTGGGGAGGAGCAGGATGTTAACCACTTCATGGAAGTAGATGACACAGGTGCTAATGAAATTTCAAATAACCAGCAAGAAGATGACACTGCCTGTTCTTTACCACAATCCTCTAGTGGAGTAGAATGGCTTTTAGGTTCTCGAAGTAAGATATATCTGACATCTGAGCGCCCTTCTAAGAAGCGAAAAATCTTGGGTGGCGAAGCAGGCTTAGAAAAGCTATTTGTTGCTCTTCCAGTTAAAGACCAGGACCAAGGGCCATCTACATCCTGTCATTATTGCAGCCTGGGCGACACAGGCAATCAGTTGAACAGATTGATTGTTTGCACGTCTTGTGGTGTAGCAGTACATCAGAGATGTTATGGTGTGCAACAAGACGATGAAGCTGGTTGTTGGGTATGTTCTTGGTGTAGGCTGAAGAGGGATGAAGATAAAAGCACCGATACCCATTGCCTGCTTTGCCCACAGCAGGGTGGTGCTCTAAAGCCTGTGCGCAAGAGAGGTGCTGGGAATGATGAGGGTGGTCTCATGGAGTTTGCTCATTTGTTTTGTTGTCAGTGGATGCCTGAGGTCTACATAGAAGACACCAAAAGCATGGAGCCGATAATGAACATTGAGGGTATCAAGGAGACGCAGAAGAAGTTAATTTGTTATATATGCAAGGTGAAGTGTGGTGCCTGTGTTCGTTGCAGTTATGGTATGTTGTCACTTGTCACATCAGTTTCACTCTTCCTTTTTCAATGGTGCAGTAGTACATCATATGATTGAAGTTTGTCTATTGTTGTTACATATGCATACTATAACTGCAATGCAATATTTCTTTCAGCAGTAAATTTTGGCACTATAGTATATCCAAAGTTCCAAACGATTCTATTAGGCTGTGTTTCTACTTGTTCTATGTGGAGTGTACTTGTGGATTTAAATTAATTAAAGGGAATACTACATGTTTGACTACATCCTAAACTCTTGGTCTAATCTGGTTTATTTGTGTATATTGATCTTCAAAAGACGATGCTCTGTCTCCCTTACTAAATTTAGGGCATATAAATGGAAAAAAAAAACAAACTATTTTGGCCTAGCATTTTTATTTCGACTTGTATGTATTTGAAGGCTGCAAATTAAAGGGTAATGTGTGCAAGTAAAGGGTAATTTGTGCAAAAAACAAGATCTGCAAAGTCAAATTTATGTATATTTGGAACATATTGAACAATCATTGATTCTAATTAGCAGACAAATCTCAGTATCTGCCAAATATCAACTACATAACTTGATCTATTGGGATTGTAGAATGCTGTGAAGAGTGAAGCTGTATGCTTTTCTTTCACTTTTACTGTGCTTAAAAAATATGATAACCAGCTTGAACAATTCAGCCTATAGAATAAAGAAAACCAGACTTACAAGTTGAAAAAAAGTAGCATTATTACTGTTGAGTTTTTCAGGGCAAATATTATAATATATAGGTACAGTGACATATAATATGATTATGAAACAACATTATAAAGGAAGGGTTGTGCATAGAGTATGTGCAATTTTCGCAAGATTAATTACATTACAATAGAAAATATATAACCCCCCGCATATTATTTCATTAAAAGTTAACTATAATATCTTTCATTTTTGGTACTTCAATAGGATCTTGTCGAACTTCTTTCCATCCTGTATGTGCAAGGGAAGCAAAACACAGAATGGAAATCTGGGGGAAATTCGGATGTGATGATGTAAGTTCATTCATCCTCCATTGAAACTAGAACAAAAAAGTTACTGTTGCCACAATTATACATCAAAACCTGTTGTGAAATGCTTAGGTTTTTTGTGTTTCTTCTTTTCACCTTTTTCTTTTTCTAATTTACATAGGTTGAGTTACGAGCTTTTTGCTTAAAGCACTCTGGACCACAAAAAGATCATAGCCCACATCTGGAAAACCTTTCTGTAGGAGTTGAAGATGTGAAAGTGAATGATTATTCTAATTTCACTCTACTTCTGAAGAAGGTATGATAAATATTCTCGAAATGTATCCTTCTTAAAAACTTCATTTGTAACAACTTTACCCTTGATTCTGTAGTTGATTGAACGAGGAAAAGTCAATTTGAAAGATGTGGCCTCAGAGATTAATGTTTCTGCTAACTTGTTGGCATCAAATCTCGCTGTAATGCCATATTTATCTTTTAGCAATATCATATGAAAGATTCTGAGATCAAGAACTTTGTTTTATGGGATTCTTGGTTCTTGCAGGATGACAGCTTACCTCCTGACTTGCATGGAAGAATAGTCAAATGGCTAAAAAGCCATGCTCATGTTGGTGGGTTGCAGAAAAACTTGAAGCTTAAACTTATGTCTCCATGCATATCCAAGGCTGAGAAAGAATCTGTAGCATTAGAAAACAATGTGGGGAATTCTCCTGTTAAGTCAGCACCACATTGGAGAACTAAAGGAAATATTAGGGTTTTGAAGGATAACAGTCTTATATTGTCTCTGAAAAGGAGTTCTGGAGATGATGGGGTTGTTATGGATGGGGATAAAAATGGTGGACTTGAGGAGTCTTCTCCTGATTCTAAGGAAAAGGTTCTCACATATTTACAGAATCAACTTTGTGATCTTATGTTGATGATTATAGAATGTTGGTGGCTTTGAGCATCTAACAATAACTTCAATTTTTTT